CTAGAAGTTTCGGATCCTAAATACATCGATGTATTATGTGCAAAGGGTCTCAAACAAAAAAAAAAATCCAAGGAAATCAAAAAACCAATAAAAAAAAGAAAAGTCAATAAAATCTAAAGAAGTCTTTTTAATTTGCAGCAGCATGCGCTGGATGTGATAATATATCGATAGCAAGGGCAAATGATTTGGGCGACAATGAAGCGAATGGCCGAGCGACCGTTGAATATGGTGCAAATGCCCAGAATTGTCGTACTGCAAGAGTTACTTGCGGTTCCGATGGCCTGGTACATTTTTAGCCAAATTCAAGCTTTTGGGCATTGGCGAATTCTTCTCCGTGTGGCAGATAATTAAACCGATTGTGTCATCTAAAAAATTATAGCAATATTTGTTTTAACGAATTAGCACTTCTGGACGGTTACTCCGTTCTTGTACTCCGTTCTTTCCGAATGGAACCGCAAACTTCCTGTAGAAAACTTAGAACCTAAAATTTTCATGTGATGCTATTGTCCAGCAGCAAATGTTTATTACAAAAATCAATAAATAATTCTTGGCTTTATGCATGCATATGCGTATATATATATATATATATACATATAATTAAACCGATTGTGTCATCTAAAAATCGGTTTAATATATATATATATATATATATATATATTGTCCTGATTTCAACGCTAACCAAATAAAATAGCATTGAAACTAGGAGAGTAAAACCTGATAGGCAGGGAATTGTTGTTGCCTTACTAACAACAGCTGGACATCCCACAATACCGGCGAGTAGTAGCCGTAAAAAGGAAAGTGCCCACTGGGGTGGATCTCTGCAGAGGCGAGGTACGTACGTCTTAAAGTTGTATCATCTAATCTGGGGTAGGCGCGTTTAGTTTGGGAAATGTGTCTGGCAGGTGATGCCATTTTTCAACACCGATGATTCCAGACCGCAGTGAAATATTGCTTTTTAAAGCCCACTGAGAAAGTAAGGGAAATCTCTACTTTTTCAGTTTCCACGTATACAACTGATGTTCGTTTATAGTAAAAATAAAAAAGATACTGCTGTGATGATATATTTAAAACGAAATAAAATATAAAAAATATATAATGAAAAACAATCAGCTCCGATGCTACTAAATGAGCAGTACCGCTGGTACTTAATATGTTATTAGATAATCAATAAACAGTGTTTTGATGCTTAAAACATTTAGAGGGATGTCACGGCCATAATTTATGCAAATGGAATAAGGGATAGGGTTGCCGCATCGTCAGACACTGGAATAGTTCGGTTGAATTTGACTTGCAATAATGCTAAGCGCTGGAGAACGCGAAGTTTATCGGTCAACATCGAGAGGCTGACATGTATTCTGCAAAGTAATTTCAAGTTTACCTTTTATGATAATGAAGGTACCAGCAGTTGGTTTTGTCTCCAAATATGGATTCAAACTGAAGCGTAGTCGACTTCCGATTAAAAGAATGCAATCAAATTTTCACTGTCTTACTCAAAGTGGATTTTTAGCTTTTTGATCTAAAACAGCGTTCATTGGCCGAAACGGTCTCTCGGTTTCCTATTAGTTTTTGCATGCCCTAGCTAATAATTTTGACACTAGGCTAACCAGTTCCTTCACTTTTTTAGGTATTTTCCGGCATTTTGTTTTGGGCATGATTTCATGACTTGAAGCTAGGCCTATTTTAACCAAATTTTTTTTTCTTTCCTTAAATTCCTCTTTTTTAAGTTGATTTTATGAGCTTTTTTTCTATGGAAGATTTTAGTGCTCCAACAGACCTAAAAAAAGAGAATCGAGCGTAAGGCGGCCGGGAGGGGGCAATTAACTCATCAAGCTATGCCCCTAAATCGGCGTAAAAAAGAATTTTGAAAACCAAATAAGCCGCAGTCAGTGCAAGCTTTCCTTTAAATTTGTGTTCATCATCTCCACACACGCGTGAGAAAAAGAAGCGCACTAAAAAAAATTTAGTGGTAACTAGCCTCAGCTTCAGAAATTCATTTTTCACAAACATCAGTAGCTAGCAACCATTCTGGCATTCTTTTAAACGGTAAAAACTCTACTATGTTGCTTAATTTCTAAAACTTTTAAAATCCAATAAA